TTCTTGCCTCATTAATGAATTGTTTATTTTTTTCAGTATTTAATTGACAAATTATCCTTTCAAATAATTAATTGATGAGTTACATAATTGTCCATTTAGTATTGTTGAATGGACTGAGTCAAGTTTGGTGCACTTTATATATTTCAAAACATGTTTTTTTTAATGATGCATATAAATAATTTAAATGTTAATTTAATGAAATATTTCTATTTTTTCATTACCTCACCCTTGTTTTGACAAAAACGGGACCTTGCTGGATAATATCATGGAGAAACTATTTGTTCACAGTACATGGCTCAGTGAGGATCTGTGTAAAGGAGGAGATACTCAGAAATCTGTCTGCAGATTGTTACAACCCAGACTGGAAGTGGCGGGCTGTAATAAGAAAGGAGACCAAACAGAGCAGTGGGGGTTCAACAACTGATTTATTTAACAAAAGTAAGGATTTACTAAAGCAAGTTAGTGAACAGAAAATGGCCATCTCAAGGTTTTACTCGGATGTCCCTCAGCAGGGTGCAGCACTGTTGAAGGTCATCTGAATGAAAGCTTGATATGCAGTTTCTTTATGAAAGTGTGTAAATATACAGTGTGGTTGCCGTACATATGTTGAGGTTCTCAGACATCAGGCTTCTTTGCCCAGGCCTTCACTAGTGGGCTATTTTAAAAGTTGGTAAGGAGAAAAACCACAGCATATAGCTGATTGTTTACAAATGCAAGGAGGGGAATAACAATCAAAATGCTTGTGTTCTTGGACCAGATGAATGGAGCGCTCCACATGCACTCAGAGATGTTATGGCTTCTGTTTCTATAACTTCTATAGTTTCTCCATGATATTATCCAGCAAGGTCCCGTTTTTGTCAAAACAAGGGTGAGGTAATGAAAAAATAGAAATATTTCATTAAATTAACATTTAAATTATTTATATGCATCATTAAAAAAAAAACATGTTTTGAAATATATAAAGTGCACCAAACTTGACTCAGTCCATTCAACAATTCTAAATGGACAATTATGTAACTCATCAATTAATTATTTGAAAGGATAATTTGTCAATTAAATACTGAAAAAAATAAACAATTCATTAATGAGGCAAGAACTTTTCTCTCTCTGTCTCTCTCTCTCTCTCTCTCTCTCTCTCTCTCTGGAAGCCCCACTCTAAGGGAGTTTGCAGTGTATTAGTGAGTCATATATTGTACAACCACAGTCATAAAGTTTTCAATCAGTAGTTTTATTTCAGTATGTATTTTTCCAGTATCACAAAAAATGTAATTTTCTATGGTTAAAACCATCTAGCTTATGTGCACTTTTTAAAACACTGCCCAGCAAACATTCGGACGTTTAATGACAGTTGAACGGTCACAACTGTAAAATACCTGAAATTAAGAAAAATTAGCATGACATCTACTGCATTTTCCTTGCCCGGCCTCGAACCCGGATCCTCCGGGGCGAGAGTCACCCGCTCTCCCAACTGAGCTATGCCAGCAACTGCTTGAATAGCAGACTTTTTTGTATAGATAGGTAGAGGGTAAAGTGCGGGGTACACTAACCAATCAGAGGACAGAGAAGATCTGCCACAGGCCACGCCTCCAGAGTGCCAAAACCCTTACAGCCGAGCGAGCAGGAGTCAGAAACCGAGCGCGCAGAGAGGCTGCCGAGCGCGCACAGAGGCTGCCGCGCGCGCACGTTTTCCTCTGCCGTGTGCTCGTTGACAACGCGCGCACGCAGGTTTGTCACTTGTGCACATCCTTGTGCGCTCACAGACACAGTTTGCTCCCTCTCAGTGCACAAATGACCTCTCGCCATGTATATTTCCGCTCGCGAGTCCCGTTCACACGCGCGCTGCCATGTATATTTTCGCTCGCGAGTCCCGTTCACACGCGCGCTGTGGACCCAATGCGCGTGCACGGGTTTTGACACGGGTATGACGCGATAAAGTGTGTGTAAACCTGAAAATTGTGTGCTGTGTTTTGATAGCAAGGTAATGTGAAACTGACATCAGAGTGTAAAGGAGGAAAATTAGAGTTCTAATATGATAAGGAAATCTTAAGTAGTGATAAACTGAGGCAAGCAATTGGGAACAGAAGTAGAGGTTGTGAAAATTGTGCTTCATTTTTGCTTTTTGAGTTTAGCAATCGAAAAAAACTGTAACATAATGGGTTTTGCTTTATTATGTTTTGTTAGTTAGTTGTTGTTTTTTTTACCCCAAGAAACGAATTTGGGCAAGTCATTTTTATTTCTCTTTATGCATATTTTCAAAAGTTCAAGTTGAAACTGTTGAAGGTCTTTAGGTCAATAGAATTTCAGTGTCACCCTTGTGATTTAATAAAGTTTTAAAATGAAGTGGTGGCTAACTGTGTGGAATGGCTTAAAAATGTTTTTGATTAATTAGCAAAATAACTTCTAGTGGTTTTTAAATAATTGTACAGAGGATGAAGCAGCACTTGGGCTTTGGGGTGTGCAGAAACTTATAAGCAACAGAGGGGAAAAAAAGAAAAATGAATAAGTGAGACTAAATAATTTATTACATGAACCCCCAGGACAGAAAATTAGATGCATTCTTAATTGGGTAAAGCATTTCAAATTCATACTGATATGTATCCAAATTTCCACTGACTTTGAATTTTGGAAGTTAAACTATGCATGGTTTATGCAGGAGAGGGAGGGACGGAAGAGCTCGACTGAATTCATAATTTTACATCTTGACATTAGCTGTACAAAGTCTGAGTTTGATAAAGTGAAGAACAACCATTTGCAGAGGTTTATAACAGGCGCGGCGCCAGGTTTTCATTTTTGGGTGGGCCACGGTAATTTTGGACGGACCTTAATAAGCAGTGACTTAGTGAAGCAGGCAGGTCGCGCTAGAAAATTTAGTTTAAAAAGACGTCATAAATGTTTTCCCCCGTCATTTTTATTTCTAAAATATGAAGTAAAAACTCACAATTTAATTTTCATTCATTTGTCATTAATATGTAGTCTACACCCGTGCGTTAAGTGGACCATCTTCCAGTAAAAGCAAAGCATCCAGCCCACCTCTCCAAATGCGTAAAATGTGCACCACAGCCGTTAGGCGCGCCGTGCGCTCCATCAGCTAGGTCAGCCCAGACAAGAGTAGAGAACATAGAGAAAGAATAGAGGATAATTGTGTCTGGATGTGGATGGAGATTACATTTTACAGCAGCCTGATCATCATTTAAATACGTAAACCATCACCTGTCTTCTAGTCCATGCTACCAGCATTATTTTAATTGGTGTGTGTGTGTGTGTGTGTGTGTGTGTGTGTGTGTGTGTGTGTGTGTGTGTGTGTGTGTGTGTGTGTGTGTTTTCTACTTCAAACACTGGTCTAACCAACCAGACCAGCGTGTTACAATTAAACAGTTTCACTTCATGTAGGCCTCTACAGATCTTCAGCTCTGTCCACCGTGTTTGCTCCGAGCAGCGCTGAGCACAGTGTCCAGTATAAAGCTCTGATGTTCTGATGGGAATCATTTCTTGATTTATTTAGTTACCTCCGCGATGTGCGTAACGATTTAAATGTCAGCTCATCTGTGTGTGCATCAGCGTGCGTCGGGTAATTCTTTCAAAACAACCAACATCCTTGAGTTTATCCGTCAAAATAAACAGTCAAATGGAAATATCTGTAACCTGCCATTTAACTGTTTTGCCTTATTGTGAAGATTGTTACAAAGAGAAACAATTAAACTTGATTAACCCCACGCACGCTGTGCTGTACTGACTGTAAAATGAGGGGGAAACGATTTAATCGGATCCTTTTCTTTTCAACATGGTTTAATGTAAAGTTTCATTCAGTACAAACTTTAGTTACACCAGTCTAACGAGACAGAGCCTGGATTTGTATTCTGAACAGTTTAAACATGTTTAAAACGGAGACATGCATGACGTGTCTAAAATTCGCACCTGCTCCGCTATTATGGAACTTAAAGTAACAAGATGAATAACATAAAATTATTTTAGGCACAGACAACATCCCCCACACTTTTGAAAAGCTTGCAACGCGCCTGAAACTATGCATCAAATATTACAGTAAATAAGCTCAGACAGCAATCCCCATCCAGCTGGAGTCAATGGATAGTGATCAATATGCCTGTTTTTACTGGGTTTGTTGTGCATCTTACACCAGTGCACTATTGTAAACACCACCTGGGACTTTTCTAGCCCACCTGTTGGGATTTTATATTATTCATTTATATCATACCATGTGTCTAAGTTTGTGAAAAAGTATATCGCATTTTTTAGTTTGGTAAAATACCTTCGGTAGTAAAGGCACTGTGGAGAGACCCATCCAAAAAGGCGGCCCGTTGCCAGCTCAGCACCAGTTCGCGTGTCTTTCTCTGTCTGTGCTCCCAAGCTGTGGAATGCATTACCACTACTAGTGAGGCAAGCACCAACAATTAGCATTTTTAAATCTCGCATGAAAACTCACTACTTCAACCTTGCATATAATACATAATCATGGACCACTTTCGACATCTGCATTCTTTCTACAATAGAATGCACTATAATTAACATCTGTATTACTGTGGTTCTTTCATATGTTTTTACCTGTTGTTTCACATTCCTTTGTGTTTTTAGTGTTTTACGACTGTTAGTTCTAGTATTTTCTTGTTTTCATTTTTTCTTATAAACTATACTTTAAATGTCATTCTGAACGTGTTAATTAACTGTAATCTTTTAATGTACAGCGCCTTGTCTGGTTGTAATGCCATGTTGAATGCGCTTTATAAATAAAATGGTATGGTATGGTATGGTATGGTATGGTCTTTGTCGTCCCGCCTCATTCAGTACTACGTCATCCCAGTTACAGGAAAAAAACGGTTTTTACTATCAAATTGTCAGTAAAAAAAATATAAGAGCACAGTATTATTGGCAACCGGATAATCTGATTAAACATGATATTACTCATTTATGTAGACCACACTATTGTTTTCTAAGTATGGATGAGTGAGCACGGTAAGCACCCACAACACAGATTCGCATGCTCTTATTTTACAAGTTGGGACCGGAAATGACGGAAGTTTACGTGAAGGCTGCAGCAGCAGAGTCTGGTCAGAGCTGAAACGAGACGGACGCAGCAGGTGAGTGGAAGTTACGCCAACAGTTTCGAGCGGATTGTACTTTTAGTTTACGGTTAAGTTACTAATAAACGACGTAAATAGTTGTAGAAATAGTCTTTAAATAGTACAGATTTGTTCTCCGAACTCAGTGACGTGATTCTCTGATTCACATTGTGCTTTTGTAAGTTTAGCATTAGTTTAGCATTAATAAATGATTGTTCATCTAAAAATAAGAGTCTCAAACAATAAATAGCTGTTAAAATGTCTATCTTTGTAAATACATTTAATTCGGTTTAGCTGCTTCTGCAGGGTATGCCTGCCTTTCTTGCTAAACCTGTTTTCACTCATTGTTTTAAAAGAATCTGAGATTTTCGTGGTTTTCTTGTTTGCTGCAACTATTTTCTAATCACATACAGATAAAATTCCCAAAGACTAAGACCTGTCATCCTAATCTTTGTCTTTTGAAATTCTTGCCCAACATGAATTTGACAACATGCACAAATCTGATCACGGCCTCTAAATTAGTTTCAAGCAGATCTGCACTCAAATCAGTGTATGCTTTTTGATTTTTGGAAAACTTTAAAATGTTTGTTAAAAAAAAGCTGTGTGGGTGTGATTTGATAAGCTTTTGGTAACAACATTGTTTTGTGAGCCCCAACAACAAAGGTGCACCTAATTTCACAGCTTTGAATTTTTAGAAATAACAGCTTCTGAATCTCTCTGATTCTGGATCTCAAGTCTGATGAAAACTAAAAATTGTGCTTTTGACTCATTTGGTTTCATACACCTTTTCCCAACAGAGATGTGGTGGCTGCTGTGGGTGCTCGCCGCCTTGTTGGTTCTCTTCTGCTGCGTAGATGTGTGGTACTTCTTACGGGTTGCCGTGGTGATCCTGCAGGCCTGGTTTCAGCCTCCAGTGTGGGACGTCACAGCAGAGCAGGTCCTGACTGCCCGGGTGACCCCGCATGACATCGACATGTGCCACATGAACAATGCTCGATACCTGAGGGAGTGCGACTTTGCACGCTTCTCTCTCTACGTACGTAACGGTGTGTTCAAGGCAGTCCGAGCTCTGGGAGGCGCGTTGGTCGTGGGGGCTACCACCATTCGTTACCGCAGGGCGCTGTGTATAGGAGAGAGCTACGAGCTGCGCAGTCGGATCGTCTCCTGGGACGATAAAGCCTTCTTCCTGGAGCAGAGATTTGTGTCTGCTAAAGATGGGTTGGTGTGTGCTGTCATGTACTGCAAGCAGAGTGTGATACGCAGCAGCCCAGATAAGATCATGCAATATCTGTGCAAAAGAAAGGTAGGAAAGAAAAAAGGTTTGTGCTGCAAAATTGTGAAAGCCACTGAAGGATGTTGAGATGTTGAGTCTGTGATTTATAACCTGCAGGTTGAGCAACCAGAGTTTCCAGAGGACCTGCAGCACTGGGTCAACTTCATCTCTGCCAGCAGCCAGGCTCTCAGAGCTGAGAGTGGTCTGGAGGAGAAGAACAAATAAGCTGTTAGTGCTAATAAACCCGTTTATCAGTCCAGGACTCTTAAGGAGAAAGATGTTTAACTTCTCTGCACCACTACTTGACTAAAGCACAGTTGTGCCTACACACTTTGCACTGATTATCTTTACAACTCTAAGCTTTAGTTGGACTTAAGTAGATAATGTGATGAATTGTTTTGAGGAGTAAAAATCTAATTAATCTGATTTTTTTTTTAATTGTATTTGTATGAATGAGATTCATGTCCATTTATAGCAACAATAAAACAAGTCAGAGTTAGTTTTTGGAGTTTTTCCTGAAGCCAAAGGTTACACCTCAACACACCCGGTTCCAAAGGTCACATTAAAAAACTACTGGATTCCTGTTTGTAACTAGGATTTAACAGGTGCAGGTTTATTTTTTATTAATAAAGTTTTTATTGGGTTTTTCAATCATGTATAATGAGCAAAAACAATCAAAATAAATGAACATGTTACTGCTCTGGTACTTTGTGAGCATCTGGCTGCCACAACCAGGGATCATGTGTCTTACAAAGGTCCAAACTATCCCACCCTCTCGTCTATGTCTCTTAAACACCCCCCCCCCCCCCCCCCCCCCCCCACTGTCCTCATGGGTGACCCCGCCAGGAAAGTTGACCATTGAGCAGGGTTTGATGGTTTATCACTTGAGGTGGCAGGGGTGAGGTGGGGCTCACTCCACCCTTGCCACGTGGACCTCAAGGGATAAACAATGAACCCTGCTCAATGGTCAACTTTCCTGGCGGGGTCACCCATGAGGACAGTGGGGGGGGTGGGGGTTAATAATTGTTTTTCATTCCATTCTACCTACAATTTCATCATCTTCACTTCTGCAGTTTCTCAGTCTGCAGCATTGATTCATAGGATGCAAATTGTCCATCCAACATACCTTCTAGAATATCAGGTCTAATAACACCCCATATTCATTAATGGTCTAATATGGAATCACATCATTCCCCCGATAAACCCTCTCCTTGGGTTCTCCATATATTTAACATTATACAGACGACACTTTAGTCACTTCATTCACTTACTCAGTGTTTTTTGCATATTTTACTGTTTCATCCATCTTGCTGCTTTATTACTTCCTTATTGCCTATTTATTCAATGTTTGTATGTCCAACATCATGCTGCTCTGCTGTTATTTCTTTTAATTGCCCCTTGGGGATAAATAAAGTTTTTCTGATTCTGATCAGAATCTTCTGATTTCAGGACAATGTGCATCACTGGGTGTGCTGGCTCAGTCTGTTGGGCACTGGGTTAGTGTGCATAAGGTTCAGGGTTCAGTCCCAGTGGGGAAAAAAAGGGTAATTTTAGACTTCAAGTGAAATCTTTAGAACTTAAAAGGTTATCAAAACTTCTGTGAGGCATCTACATGTGGAGCTCAGGCTGTAAAGTGATGGGTTAGTGTGCAGAAGGACTGGGGTTCAATTCCAGGAAAAGCAGAGTTTACTTCATATGATTATGGGAATTCTTGGTTGTTATGTGGACAGCTTAAGTATTTCTAAAAGGTATTGTTGATGTCTGTCCATGTAGCTGAGTGTGTATGGTGCTAACTTTTTGTGCAGATGGTTCAGGGTTCAATTCTCAGTACAGAAGGTCATTTTAGGACCACTCCAGTGGCGATGATGCACCAAGAAGTGGCTTGCAAACTACCACAATTCCGCTTGAAGAAGAAAAATTTAGTGACATTTATGCCAGAACCAATTTTTTCTTCTTCTTCAAGCAGAATTGTGGTAGTTAGCAAGCCACTTCTTGTTACATAATCGCCCCTTACTGGAGCGGAGTGGAAATGGGTTCATAATGAAACATTAATGCTGCCACCTACTGGAGTGGAATGGAAATGGGACCAGAATTCTTAATACAAATTATCGCAATATGAAAAAAATAATGAAAGTTAAAGTCTTCACGCACTGGTGAAATTAATCTCTGCATTTGACCCAGCTGTGGCCATACTGGAACTATTTGGTGGTTTAACCCCCAATTCCAACCCCTTAATGCCGATTGTTAAGGAGGGAGGCATTGGGAGGCATTAACTTGTTCTTCCAACCTTTCAGTTTCTAAAGATTTCACATAAAATCTGAAATTCCCCAAGTTTTCTGCTGGGATTGAACCCTAAACCTTGCACTCTCCAAACCAGCATCCTACAGACTGAGCCATCACACCCAAACAGTTACACACTGTTCTGAAATTAGAAGATTCTGAACTGAAAGTATTTGTTTGAAACTCTGAGCTACTCCAACATCCAGATCTCAGCCTCTCACTGGTAGTTTTCTGGTTAAACTTTCTGAAACTGATGGACCGAACAGCCATCTGTGATTTTCCACAATCCACCCTGCTGTGTTAATTCGTATACTTATTGAGTTCTGTGCTTTGAGGTGCACATGCATTGGGCGAGTGCTTCATTAAGTGCCAATGCTTTGGAGGCTGGAAACTCAAGCTGGAAAAAATACTGTCCAATATTGGACAAACGTAATAAAAATATTAAAATTATATTGTTTTCACATTTTAACGTGATATTGCTAGAATTTTATTACTAATTTCAGCTCTATATTTGGACAAGCACCATCTTACATTGGTGATCTTCTTAGTCCCTACACCCCCAGCAGGTCCCTGAGGTCCAGTGATCAAAGCCTACTGGTTGTGCAGCACCAGGCTAAAGACCAAAGGTGACAGATCATTTGCTGCTGTGGCCCCCAGACTCTGGAACTCTCTCCCCCTGAGCCTGAGATCAGCGGACTCAGTGGTCTCCTTCAAAAAGCAGCTGAAGACTCACTTGTTCAAGCTGGCTTTTGTACGACCTTCTTCACCACTCTCTCTTTATTCTGCTCTCCCCACCTATTCCACCTTCCTCAGGATCCACTGATTTCCCTCTTTCCTACTCACTCTCTTTTTCTTAACAGTTTGTTTTTTTAATCACAATTGTCTATTTTTGCTCATTTTAAATATATTTTAAACATTTTCTAAATTCTTTTTTATATTTTTACATTTTTTGTTTTTGTGAAGTGCCTCGTGATTTTTATCTTGAGAGGCGCTGTAGAAATGATATTTTCTTCTTTTCTTCTTCTATACACTAGCGTAGTTCACAATTGAGATATAAATTTACTTTTTAAACAAAAAATTCTGTTATATAGATGGTTAACCAGAGCAGATGGAATTTCACTCTCTTTTATTTTCCTCAATATTTTCATAATAGAAAATGTTGTAATTAATGTTAAATTTTATTAGTACACTATTACACTCAGGCTACATTACAAGGAAAAAAAGAGAAATCACTTAAACAGTGGTGTCCTATTAAATTTGTATTTGATGTATATATAGATGAAGAGCAGCAAAACCCAGAAGAAAATAGAAATTATAATAGTGTAGAGATGACAGCCTTTGTTTTGTTTGACTGCAGTGTACTGTGTTTGACTTTGTTATTTTTCCTTTCCCTGTTAGTTTTTTTAAAAGTGTAAATTAGGTAAAACAAATTAATTCATACATTTAAGTTTGCATTTGATTTTCATCTATGAAGAAATGTGTAAACAGGGTAAGGACGTTTTATACAACCTACCTGCATTTCTAACAATGTTGATTGTCTATTTTTATTTTTTATTGTTTGAAATACATAAACAAAAAATTACAAAACCAATCATAAATCAAAATGAAACCAACGTATCAGAAAGCAATAACTGTTATTTGTTAGAAAACCAAGTAGGCCTGTGCCAGCAAGTCAGCCAATGAAGATCCATGTCGTCACACACCCGGAAGTCATGTTCGTCGAGTCCGATCGAGCCTAGTACCGGCTTCTCGAAGTTGCATCTTATCCCACGGCAGCGCTTTCTCCGGGACGCACAGTGAGTTACGCAGAAACAACAACATTCATGTCTCCGTTATGACTGGTAGAAAAGTTTTGGCTTTGATGAATTGAAATGAGGTGACTTTACATCAGAAATCATCCGCAGACCCTTTAAGGCCACCGGGCTGCAGCAGCTAGTGGCTAAGCTAACAGTCTGCAGCGTTAGCTCTCCATCCTGTCAAGGTTGCAGACCTGGATGACATCCGCTGCCTCGGTGTTTTCAGGCATAAAATTAGGTCAGCAGTCGGACTGAGTTCTTGTTTTCATCCACAGCTTCAGAAACACAATCAATTTCCCTCTGGGATTAATTAAGTATTTTTGAATTGAATTCAAATATACCATGTAGTTAAATCTAGTCAAAATTTGTGTAAAAGAAAATAATTATAATAAACAGATTTTTTTTTTGTGGATTTGTAAGTACAGCTACCAAAGTCCGATGGAAATCTGTTACAATATAGTTATTACTTGACCCTTGGTCCATACAAGGTTATCCATGTATTTAATATTTGGACTTTTGTTCCAGAGAGATGCTTCTCCTGGTACTGTTTGCCCTCCTCCTGCTCTTCTGCAACCTGGATGTGTGGTACTTCTTGCGTGGGGCCCTGGTGTTCTTCGAGGCATGGTTCCAGCCAACAATAGGGGACATACTGGCCGAACAAAGCTTTGATGGCATGGTCCTTCCACATGATTTAGACTACTTGGGGCACATGAACAATTCTCGATATTTGAGGGAGTGTGACTTTGCTCGCTTCCACCACTACATGAGAAACGGGCTGTTCATGGCCTCACGCAAATTAGGGGCCAAGTTGGTCGTAGGTGCCTCCACCATTCGTTATCGCCGCTCTTTGGCCTTCAAAGAGGTTTTTGAGATTCGCACCAAAGTGCTTGGCTGGGATGAGAAGGCCTTTTACTTGGAGCAGCGCTTTGTGTCCAAGAAAGATAGTTTTGTATCTGCAGTCATGCTTTGTAGACAGAATGTGGTAGGCACCAGCCCAGAGACCATTATTGAATATATCTGCAAAAAGAAGGTGAGCAATTACTTGTTGTCACTGTAAATAGCTTATGTAATAACACCAAGACATACTGACAACAAGATGATGATGCTTTTATTTGCAGATTGAGTGCCCAGAGTTTCCAGAGGAGCTGAAACACTGGATCAGCTTCATTTCAGCCAGCAGCCAGGCACTGAGAGCAGAAAGCGGACTGGAACATAAGAACAAGTGAAACCACACCAGGACATCATGTATTATGTGTGTAGACCCAATCATAGCATTGCACAAACACATACATCCTACATTCACACTGAAACAGTCATTATGTTTTAGCTGACTTCAACTATACCTCCAGTTTGGTTTGCTTGTTCTTGCTGTGTGTGGTTTTTGTTTGATGTGCAATTCTAAATGTATGACAGCTAAATATTAAAACTTGAACTGTGTGAAATGAAAAGAAACCTGAACCCTGATCGTAGCTTTAGCTTCACAACTTACCAAGTAGCTGACTGAGAGAAGATGGATTTCAGACTCTCTTCATTCTTATTTAGGCAAATTATTTATTCTGACGTTAGCATGTGGCGCAGAAGACGATCTGTCACTGAGACCAGTGCATGTTTTAAAACAATCAAAATATTTTTCAAGCTTGTTTATTATAGAGTTATAACTTTTAACTAAAATGATGTGTAATGAAAAACTTGAATGGCTATACTGAGCATGTACTGACAGATATTTTATTCCAGTCAGTATTTTGAACAGGTTAATATTGCCTGTTAACGATCTGAAAGGGAAAACTTCATTATGAAGAATATATTTACCCGCACTTTACTGTTCTTTTATAAATTAGAAAGGAAAAAAAGCTATTTAAGTAGATGGCATCTTGATTGGATCTGCATGTGATTTTTGAGCGAATGTCTTTGAATTCTGATTGGCAGGTGGAAAAGGCTGATATGAGGTTGCTGGCAACTTTACAAAACCTGCAACGCACAATAAAAACCGAATGTTTGAGTCCTGTTATTGAGAGAATAGTTCAAAATGCTCATCCATGCATCGGAGCTTTCTGTTGTGACCAAAGTAATGTATGATTGTTTGTTAGGGATATTAGACTTTTGAAATTGTGGTCCAGTCTGTTATGTAATTATTTTGTCATTGCACTGACTAAACTATTCTCTAAAACTACTGAAGTTATGAACTGTATTTACTTTCCACTGAACTGTCTTTGATTTATGTAAACTGATTTATTTATCAAACATTGTGTTTGTTAATCTTAATGCATTTTAAATTAAAAAAAGAAATTCTATGTGTTTGAGTTATTCACTAATTCTTATAAGTGATGTATAGATTTTACTGTGAATACGAAGGAGTAACCAACAGTCACATCAGCCACTTAATTTAATGTCTATGATAGATAATAAAGCCAGACTTTCACAAACACCAAGCCGGCATACACTGACTCAGTAAATGTCTTAATTTAAATTACAAAATAAAATTGTTTTTGTTGGCCTAGCCATAACTTGTTACTGAAGTATTATAGATAACTGTACTGGAAGGTGTTTAACCCAAGACTTGCAGAATCGACTCGACACCTCTGGGTAAGTTAAAGAAAAGTTCTTTAATTGGAAACAGGAACAAAAGTAGCGCTGGGACGTCCAGTGGGAAATGAGCTGTACGGCTCTTGTCTATATAGCGGTCTGTGATGAACGAGGAAGGTGGGGAGCCAAGGTGAGCGCCGGGGAAGGATGGGCGAACCGAGGTGGGTGAGGCAGCAGAGAGGGTCCAGACAGGAACAACGGAGGAGGATGGGACATGGTTCAGGTGATCCGGGGTTCTAGCAGCGAGGATGATGAATGATATGGAGTTGTCCTGCGTAGAGCAAACAAACATGAGTCTTAAAGGGGAATCCAAAAAGTATTCCAAGATAGTCCGAAGTTCAAAATCTGTCAGGGACCGAGCAGTAAAACTCCAGGACAATGGTATAAAAAGAATATTTTCTCCATTTATTTCATAAAGAATTAAACAAAATCAAAACAAAAACGGGCCCAAAGGAAAAAATGGCCACAAAAATAACCTTAACTAAAAGTAACAAGCAAGACTCTCCCTAAACTGAGACACACAGGGGAATTTATACACACAGGCTAGCCTACAGACAACGAGGAGGGGAGAGACAAGGGAAACACTAAGACAAACAGTAAATAAACCTAAGAAACTACGGTAAGTCAGCAAAGTACAACTACCACAAAAAAAGTTTAACTAATACATCCTAACAAAATCTGGTAAACTCAAGAGCTTCAGAATGTCTGGTTTCTGGTTTCTTCATTATCAAGTCCCCTGCTTCCAGGAGCCAGATGGAATGTTCCACTTCCTGCATGGAGTTACACTGGGCGTGTCCCCTCTCTCTGCCAGTTCATCCAATCTCAGGAATACAAATGAAAATAGTTAATGATCAAAAATACTATGTGTAAGATAAATTACTAAATGTGTGCACCCATTAGTAACCATCTTACAATATTGCCAAAATGAAATAGTAAACCAGCGTGTGGAAAAAGATGTTTAAATAATACTAACACTGAGAAATGGCTGGAGGAACCTCCACAAAATCCAATAATCCAAAACGAGTCAAGCGAGCAAACAAATACAAGTGGCTGGGGCTACCTAAACTGGAGCAATCATCCGGCGTAGTGTGGTGTCTCCATCCTCCTTTTATATCCGACTTCCTGATTAGACATTCTGTGCTGCCCCCTCCGCACCTCACCTGTAGGAAATTGACTCGGAGATGGTTAGTGGAAGAGGAGCACTCACCTCGGCTCGAGAACATGACAAACACTTCTGATTAGGATGACCACTGACTGGGTGAAATATAATGCAGTATTAACTATTTGGCTGTTAGCTTCATGTTAATTAGGGTAAAGACATGTAATCACTTTTGCCCAATTGAATCAAACATACATTAAATAACAAAAACCTGACAAAATTTAGCTCGATTCTGGAGTTTATAAAATAATATTTTATTAAAAAGTTTGTTGATTTCAAAAATATACTTTGTTGCATTTTTATTCAAAATAAAATTTAAAGAGCAAGTCGCCCCCAGATAAACTACTTTTGTTGATAAACTATAGAGTGTCTAATCAGGGGCGGATTTAGGACTGAAGAAGATCCGGGGATTAACACACACACACGCGCACACACACACGTGACACGCACTAGTCAACAACATCATATATATTTGTCTTGTACCACATAATTTTTAATCTGAAGCTACATATTAAGCATTTTCAGGGCAGAGTATTGTTCCTGTTAGTGTTTAGTGTGAGATGATAGTAAATATTCCCTTTCTTTCTCCATCCACTTTACCTGATAAGCTAACTTTAGGCAAACCAGCAGCACAACAAATATTTTCTAATAAGACTCACAAACCTGAGTCAACACCAGTATCATCAAAGCTGGGGTTCTGTCGCAGTTCTTTTGGTCTAAAAAACGTCCTTATGTCCATCTTCACTCATGCGTTTCAGGCAGACTGTAGAAGAAGCCGGCTGCTGAAGGGCTTCTTCTTCAGTGGTGGAGGCACAGGCAGGCTGTATACAAACTACTGCCAGCTGCGCCCTCTCTGTTGGACTTTGGTACTGCATGTTACTTCCGCGATTTAGATTGGGGGCTTTTCATTAAACATCCGGGGCTTCAGCCCAAGTAGCCGGGCCTAACGCCGCCCCTGTGTCTAATCATGCTGTAGTCAAATATTTGGCACTTTAGTGCATCTTAGTTTCAATTTAAAGAGCAAGTCACCCCCAAATGAACTTTTTTTTGCTGATAAACTAAATAAACGAGTGTCTGATTGTGCTGCAGATGCATGTAGTCAATAATTTGGCACTTCAGTGCATTTTAGTTAAAATTGAAATATTCTGCCTAAAACGGGCAGTGTTGTGCCGTTGTCAGGTAAAAACTCTGCACTGTATTTTAATTTAAATCTGCCACTGCTATTGGCTAAGAGGTATGCTATGATGTAAACTGGTACATTATGATGTCACAATGTTGTTGTGAGCCTGTGTGTGTGTGTGTGTGTGTGTGTGTGTGTGTGTATTTGTTAACAGCTCTGCCTTCTCGGTCTGCCAGGCAACAGCATTTGTTGCATTTTTCAAACATGAAGTGGGAGTGGAGTTAGACTCTGGTAGGGGTTGACTTGCTCTTTAAATATTCTGCCTAAAACTGTCAGTGTTGCACCCTCTTCAGGTAAAAACTCTGCACTGCATTTGAATTTAACCCTTTGATGCATAATGGTCACTACAGTAGACAGGTACTCAAAATTGTTATTTATTTATTTTTGCTATTAAGCACAGCTATTGAAGACTTTATTGCATTTCAGCCTCTCCATTTGGACTTCAGTAATTCAAGCCAACATATTTCATGTTCAGAATGCACGCTGTCCACTGAGATGGACATGTAATAAACTATGTGTAAATTAAATGTTACAAAAAATATGTAAATATGAAATTTGTTTCATTCGCACCTAAAGATGAATGAAAAAAAAAGTTTAAAAAATCATGGTTGAAGATTTCATAATTCATGCATCAAAGGGTTAAATCTACCATCGCTATTGGCTAAGAGGCACACTATGATGTTAGCTGGTACGCTGTGGTGTCACAGTGTTGTGAACTTTGTGTGTGTGTGTGTGTGTGTGCGTGTGTGTGTGTGTGTGTGTGTGTGTGTGTGTGTGTGTGTATGTGTGTGTGTGTGTGTGTGTGTGTGTGTGTGTTAGTGGCTCCGCCCTCTCAGTCTGCCAGGAAACAGCATTTGTTGCATTTTTCAAACAGGGAGTGGAGTGAAGCCTAATTTATACCTCTCCGTAAGCTCCACGAGGGAGAGACACCCACAGACGGAGACAATTTGCCCTCATACTTCTCTGTCTCCTGGGGAGTGTTGCAAAGCAATTCCCTGCCAGGACGACGCAGGGCGTAGTGCTGTTCTATGGTATCCTGTCATGTATCCGGTCCAAGATATTGTGTTGTTTGTATTTGAGACTTTTTAACGCGGACACATTTGTCTCTCATCCTCCTCCACTTCGTCATGCACTCGCCACCTCTAAACCCACGTTTCCCGTCATTTCTGTCCACGAATAAAACACTTGCTCTGCGTCTTTTCACTCCTCCAGTCACGGGGGAATAAAACGTTCATATTTTAGAGTTTTTCTGCAAGGTATTCTTCAAGCTGCTCAGTGTGTTGCTAGATATCCTCTGCTCTTTTTGTGATTTTGAGGGTGCAATGGCGGCGCTGTAGACGACAGTGGCGTCCTGACCAATCACAAGCTTGCGTTCTCCATCTCGACGGACAGATGTTTAGAAAAGAGCTTGACTCTGTCCGTTCTTGAGAGGTCTCTCCATTAGGCTCGCGAGAACAGATAATGGCATTGCATGCATCCGTCCCGACGCAGATGGAGAAGTATAAATTAGGCTTAAGACTCTGGTAGGGGGTGACTTGCTATTTAAACATCAGAATTCTGACTTTTTAAAATCAGAATTCTGACATTTTTCGCAGAATTCTGCCTTTTTCTCAGGGCTATTAAACAAGTGTGTTTTCTGTTGTTTATTTTTCCAAAGAATTACAATTTTCAAACAATCTAAGCCTAATGTATGCTTTTTACATAGTTATATTTACTTCTTAATTAATCCATATTTGATCTTTTTTATTAGTTGAGTAAAGGAAAAAGTTTGATTCCAGTTATGCAAGTCACCCCCAAATGAACTTTTTTTTGCTGATAAACTAAATAAACGAGTGTCTGATTGTGCTGCAAACGCATGTAGTCAATAATTTGGCACTTCAGTGCATTTTAGTTAAAATTGAAATATTCTGCCTAAAACGGGCAGTGTTGTGCCGTTGTCAGGTAAAAACTCTGCACTGTATTTTAATTTAAATCTGCCACTGCTATTGGCTAAGAGGTATGCTATGATGTAAACTGGTACATTATGATGTCACAATGTTGTTGTGAGCCTGTGTGTGTGTGTGTGTGTGTGTATTTGTTAACAGCTCTGCCTTCTCGGTCTGCCAGGCAACAGCATTTGTTGCATTTTTCAAACATGAAGTGGGAGTGGAGTTAGACTCTGGTAGGGGTTGACTTGCTCTTTACAAAATATATACGTTGTTTTAGTAGTACATTATTTTGAAATTCAATTTTTAAAATCGCATTCCGTTTCCGGCGTTGCTGCGCTAGCCACGCCTCCTCACTTTTTTCTGTAAACAAAGCAGAAGCAGCTGTTGTAGTGGTTTTGGGAGCCTCGTTCTTGTATTTTCTACCTTGTTTCCGACCATGGCCCAGGCCGGGGTGGTGTTGGACCGGGACCAGTTCAACTGCTCTATCTGTCTGGAGGTGTTAAAACACCCGGTGACCATCCCCTGCGGGCACAGCTATTGCTTGCATTGTATCCAGAACTACTGGGACCAGGACGACTTCCGCGGGGTCTTCGTGTGTCCGCAGTGCCGACAGAGCTTCAGCCCGAGGCCGGTGCTCGCCAGGAACACCATGCTGGACGACGTGGTGGACAAATTCAAGAAAACGAGCCTACATAACGCTTCGACGCCGGAGAACAACCAGAGTTTCGCCGAAGCCGACGACGCGGAATGCGACGTCTGCACAGGGAGGAAAAACAAGGCCGTCAAGTCCTGTTTGGTTTGTCTGGCCTCTTACTGCGAGCTCCACGTCCAGCCTCACTTCGAGTCTGCTGCTTTTAAGAAACACAAGCTGGTGTCGGCCAACAAGCGACTCCAGGAGACGATCTGTGCGCGACACGACAAGCTGCTGGAGGTGTACTGTCGCTCCGACAGGCGCTTCATCTGCTACCTGTGTCTGACAGACGAACACAAAGGGCACGACACGGTGCTGGTCGAGGAAGAAACACAGAACATGCAGGTGAATTAAGGATAAACATGTCTACAGGAATAAAAAATCAGTCTGAACCCCAAACAGCCAATGGTCAAAGTTCAACCTAGAATCACTGAGCTGTTTAATCAACACCAGATTCTTTAAAGAACAAGTCACCCCTACAAGAAACTTACTCCACTCTCACTACCTGTTTGGAAAAATGTAACAAATACTGTTGCCTGGCAGACCAAGAGGGCAGAGCCACACACACCACACACACAGGCTCACAACAGCATTGTGACATCATAATGTACCAGCTAACGTCATTGTGTACCTCTTAGCCAATAGCGGTGGCAGATTAAAATTCAAATGCATTGTATAGATTTTACCTGATGACGGCGCAACACTGACAGTTTTAGACAGAATATTTAAATTTGAACTAAGATGCACTAAAGTGCCAAATTATTGACAACATGTGTCTACAGCATGGTTAGACACTCATTTATAGAGCTGCCTGAAAAATTCAGAATCGATTCATAAAACTCAAGCATCAATTCTGTCGGAAAGCCTTTGCCAGCTGCCATATTTCCGAGCATCCCTGAATGCATCTTTGCTGGAGCCAGTGCTAACATTAGCTGCTCGCTCTGTGTGCTCCTCCACTGCAGTCTATTAAAATATGGCAGTCTTACTTTTCCTATCATTCAGTATGTGTTTTATGAGTCAAGTCCCACCATATTTAATAATGTTTAAATAGTTTTATTCTGTTTAGTTTGTGTGTTGTTTCATGCTGACTGCACCGTGCATTATTGACGCTTGTTCAGACTATCAGTGCCTATTAGTGTTGTGTTGGTTTATGTGAATACATGCTACTGCATGTTGTAAAACCTGTTTATTAGTTTAAAATGTTTCACATATATCTCCTGTACCCTCATCTACACACACACACACTAGTGGACCTGTTACTAAGAGAACTGGTTTAGAGTCGAGAATAGAATCTGAATGGAATCGTCACCCGAGAATTGGAATCAAATTGAATCGTGACTTGTTTTAAGATTCACATCCCTTATATAGTTTATCTGCAAAAAAACATTGATTTGGGGGTGACTTGCTCTTTAACTTAAAACCAGATTTACATGTTTTACTGTCTTAAAACACTTTTTACAATGAATCAGTGATGAGATGTCATCTAGAAAACCAACTTTGCCTTTTGTTAATGCAAATAATCCTTTATTTATTCCTGCATGTGGGCCCCATGTCTAATTACTTCAACTGTAAAATGTGTGTATTGTTCTGTTGAATAAGATTTCATATCTATCTCTATACATCTATATCTGTATATCTAATATATATATATATATATATATATATATATATATATATATAATCTAAATCTCATCTTTTGTGGTTTATAAGGACGAAAATGTCAAGTAGATCAGGTAGACAACAAAAATATTAGAAATTCAACTAAGGTGTATTAGAACCGTTTATAACTACCTGCAGTCAGCACCTTCTTGGTCTTGTGTGGCACCAGGATAGTTTCAGGTTTTTATGCAGTGTAAACAAGATGCCGTTTTCCAGCAGAGAGATCAAGAGGATGCTTTGAGGTCTTTATATCTGCCAAACGGATGCAGAAACCAGGTTTATTTTAAGTTTTTCTAACATCTTCCCTCAGAGGCAGCTCGGTGACATAAAACAGAGATCCCAAACGAAGATTCAGAAAAGAGAAAAGGAGGCACAGGAGCTGAGGCTGTCTATTATGTTTTTCTCGGTAAGCGCTCTTACCCCGTTTCTCACAGTTCTCGCCGCCTTGCATAACAGCGGTTTTCTCTGTGTCTCGCTAGCGTTCGGCGCGGGCTACAGCAGAGAAGGCAGACGCCATCTTCACTGAGCTCATTCGTTCAATGGAGCTGAAGCACTTTGAGGTGCGTGAGCTGATCAAAGCTCAGGAAAAAACGGCCATCAGGGAGGCCGAGCAGCTTCTGGAGAAGATCCAGAAGGAAATTGTTGAACTGAAAAAGAGCGACACAGAACTGGACCAGCTGGCCCTGATTGAGGACCCAGTCCATTTCCTCCAGGTCTCAGATTTATCCACATTTCTTTTCCTCCCTCAGGAGGGTGACCCAGCTGCACACCATCTAATGTCATCTCCTTTTTATTTCTGTGTCCAGAGCTGCCAGTCGCTTCAAGCTCCACCTGCGCTGTCTGCTTCTCCCTTGCTCAGCACGAACCCTGGCGGCTCCTTCGATCCGGTGATGGCAGCCGTGGCAGACTTTAAGGAGCTGCTGCACGAGGTGTCTGAAGTAGGATTTGCCAGCATCTTCGAGAAAGGTAGTTACGCGTTTGTTTGCAGGTCATAGAACATTTTTCTACCCTCTCCCTTCTTCTTTAACCTTTATCTCTTATTGAAGTGAGAGAGGTGCAGATCATAGGTCCTCAGAATCCTCCAGTCCAGAGTGACGGTGAGACGGGCTCAGCTGCACAAACGGATCCACCAGTCGGTGAGTCTGGTTAATATTTACAGATTGAAGGTGGATTATTATTATTATTTTTTTTTTTTGTTTAGCAAAATTGAAGACACCACAGATGTCTTGTTTGTATCAAAACTCCTCTTATCTTAGAGCAGAAACTCTTCACTCTGCATGTTTTTGGAACCGTTTGCTGAATCTACATGAATTCTGTCGATTCTGACATCTGAAACCATTTTTATTTTTGTTCTGGCAGCAGCCCTTCCCTTTGGTCTGGATCAAACTTCTGCTAATCCTCTGAATCCGTTCCTGATTCCAGGACCGATTGCTCCCATGTTTAGCCTCTCACCACTTGGTCAGTAGAACCTCTGTCTTATAGTGACGTGCGTAGTACAAGCGTTACGATCCACATCTTTCTGTCCTCTCCTCTCCTGGTACCTCATGGTGCTAAACGTCCATAATTCTGTTTTTCTGTCTGCTCAGGCTCCAGACTCTCCTCGGGAACCAGACACAGACACGTTCAGCGACGCCCTCACCCCAGGAGGAAATAGACTGAACAGCGTGTTTCTTCTGCTTCAACACAGACCAATCATCATTCCTCATACACATCAGCACTGACATCATAAATGAGAAATTAAAAAAGAAAACCATTTAATTCTTGGTTATTTTTCTTCCTTATTTGGATTTTTCTTTACAGATAAATTGGGAGAGCTGAAGGAAACCACCCAAAGATCAGGACCAACCCACTAAAAACATTTCATATCAAGTTTTTATTGGAATTCTATTTAAACCTGAACTTTTAACCGTTTTGGTTTGCAGACCTGTTATAATTTGTGCCACATTAAAGAACATGCAAACATTTGAAGCTCGAGTTTCTGTTCCCGTGTGGGATTAGTTCCCGTTTCACAGCAAAAACCGATGTCAAGAGAGGGTTTCACTCACAAACAAGCTGCTGAGCGTTTCAGTCAAATGATAAGCATCAGATTACCTGTGAAGGTCATGGCGCTCACCTGGTGTGTACTCAGCAGAGGTGGGTCTGGGACGGCCTACTTTGTGAGCTTTTCCAAGCTGATAGGGCACCTTCAGACTGAAGCAGGTGTAACCTGAGAAGCTGTCACCTGCGAGCCACGCCCATCACTGTCCTTTTCCAGTTTCAGCTCTTGCGATGGCAACCGCAACGATTTCTGTTGAAGAGGACCAGTTCTGCTGTCCCGTGTGCCTGGAGGTTTTACGGGACCCTGCCACCATCCCCTGTGGTCACAGCTACTGCCTGGACTGCATCGAAGACTACTGGAACACAGCAAAGCAGAGAGACCAGTACAGCTGCCCCCAGTGCAGGCAGGTGTTCAAGCCCAAGCCGCTCCTCAGCAGAAACACAGTTCTGGGCGAGGTGGTGGAAAAGTTCATGAAAAGCGGCGCCCAACACCTGGCCAAAGCAGAGGAAGTGAAGTGCAGCACTTGCAAGGGGGGGAATATCCGAGCTGCTAAGTCCTGCCTTGTGTGCCTGGAGTCCTACTGCGTGGCTCACCTGAGAGCGCATGAAGAGCGCTTTCACAGAAAAGCCCACAAGCTGATCCCAGCCTCGGATCAGCTGAGAGAGAAGCTGTGCCAGCAGCATGATATGTTACTGCGGCTGTACTGCCTCACCGACCAGCAGTGTGTGTGTTCGCTGTGTGTTAAAGAGAGACACCGGGGTCATGACACGGTCCCGGTGGGGGAGGAGAGGGCCGCTCAACATGTGAGTCCATGATTTTAAACTATGAAATGATCAACTAACACCTTTCATACATCATCTTTATGCAAATGCACTTCCTGGAAAGTTGATTTAAAGGGTCCACTCCTCTGTTTTCATGTGTCTACTACAGAAACATTGACCAGTGTTCTGAGATTTTCATCATTTTAAATCTTTGTCCAGTTACACAAAATAAAATAAACTTTACCGTAAGCTTAGCAGATTAAACAAGTTTCCTTTTAGGTCCACATTAATGGAAACATTCAAGGAGTAATTCAAAATATTCCATTATTCGAAGCAGCAACTGTTTCCTGGGAGGTGCTGACCTGATTTTCAGTTTTTTTCCTTTTTGTACCTAAACTAAAACCACGACACTGCAGTTGGACATCAAACGTGTTGCAACAAACCAAAACATCTTTAAAGTTTTGTCATTTGCTTTACGCCCCTGGGCCAGCCAGTAAAATAATTGTTACCTTTTAAAAAGGTGTGCCACAGGGAAAACAGTTACCTGGTAAGCCCCGCCCCTTTGAGTTTAATTAATCCTAATGAGAATATTTGATCATCTCCCTAAGAGGCTACAGTGAAGTAGGGGTAGATCGATCTCTTGCTGATGTTTACAGTTTTTTTAGAGCTCGGCCAATGTTTGTTCTTAGTAAAGCTGATTTTAAAGTCAGGCACATCCTCCAGCTGCCCGACGCTGTTGCAGAATTTAATTTTAATGCATAATCAGTCCTCTAAATTAACTATTTGGGTATCTGACTTTAACACTGAGCAGTGCACGAACTTAAGGTCGAACAGTTCAATTCAGATTCAGACATTTTGTGCACAAACTGATATTAGTGACATTTTGTTGTGAAAATAAGATGGAAAACATCTAGATATCGGCCATAAACCCGTACAACACATCGGCATGTGCAACAGAAAAACCAATATCAGCCAACCTCTGTTAAATGTCAATATTGAATATTGTGGGAAAATTCTTAAATGAGCATTTTACTGATAGTTTTGGGTTAAAAAAAGGCTAAAAAGCATTAAATTTACACATTCAATAACTTTAGTGCATAAAATGTAAATAAGTGTATTTTATACGATTGTCTTCCTGAAGGAGCCATGGTGCAAACTGCAGGAGCTGGCAATCACATGATGCCAATAACATTTTAATTAGTTAAAAGAACTGATAAAAACTTTAGGTAGACCTTTTTCATCTTACTGCGTATAAATATCACATCAGGCCGACTCATTTATGGATGATAATTAAGTAAATGTAAGTTGAAACAGCCAACTTAAGACAAAATGATCCTGCAGAAGTCTTCTGCTCGACGTTCCTGCAGCTGATAAGCCAGGTTTCCAGATGAATTTCAGTCGTTTTGCTGTGAAATCAAAACCGTTCCATTGAGCAGCAGGAGTCTGCCTCCAAGTGAATCCCTCTGTTTTCTTAGAAAAAACTCAAGGAAACCTCTTTGAAGTCTGTGCAGAAGTTAAGGGATACAGAGAAGGAGCTCCGATACGTCATCAGATACATCAAGGTGAGGGATGTGAATGCAGAGCTGCAGAAGTGTGTTCCTCAGAGCAAAGAGGTAACGTTGACCTTCTCAGCACTCCACAGAGGCTGTGGTGGAGGAGAGCGAGAGGATTTTCTCCAAGCTGATCCGATCTATCGAGAAAGAAGGCAGCGAGCTGAAGGAGAAGCTCCGAGTCCAGGAGAGAGTGGTGGTCGGTCAGGCTGAGGAGGTGCTGGAGATGATTCAGAGGGAGATCTCTGAGCTGAAGAAGACTGAGGCCGAGCTGGAAAGGCTGAGTCGCTCAGAGGACCACATCTACTTCCTCCAGGTAGTTAAAACTACAGCTGGGAGAGAGTGGGTGAAGGTGAATGACGTGGCTGTGCTGTTTCTTATTAAACAGAGATCAAAGTGTCTTAAGTTCCCTTCGAGGACCGTGGAGATGCCCAACACTGATGCTCTTACATATCTGATGTATAAGACCATGAGGGACACTCTGTCGGATTTAAACGGCAGCCTGGATGAAACGCTCAGCAGAGACTTCAGCCGAGTGTCTGATAAAGGTAGGTCTACTGTAGCAGCTGAAGACCGTTACGGTCACAAACACTAATGATCCGTTTGTGTTTAGTAAACTCGGTGAAGGAAGGGAGCAACACTTCTGAAAAAACTAAAGGTGAGTTTTATGTAAACAGATGCTCTTAGAGGAATCTTTAGTTTACTTGAAGCTTAAAAATTAATTAGTTCTTTGTATCTGACCCAGGAAAAGACGCAGACCACACGGAACCGAGAACCAGAGCGGACTTTCTACAGTGTGAGTCCAGTCGAAACATTTTAAATCTTTTCTCATAACCTGAAATAATTTGACTTTACACTTTCCAGACTTCAACGATTTGACTCTGGACTCCAATACTGCCAACCCATACCTAAGTTTCTCAGGCGGACGGAGGACGGTGACCACCCGCTACGAGCCACAGCCCTACCCCAACCACCCAGACCGCTTCACCAGCTGGGCCCAGGTGCTGTGCAGAGCTGGGATGGCTGGCCGATGCTACTGGGAGGTGGAGTGGGCTGGAAACGGAGGGGTCTCTGTTGGGATTTGCTACAAAAGCATGAACAGGATTGGAGGAGGGAGCGACTGCAAGCTGGGTCACAACTCCAAATCCTGGAGCCTGGACTGCTCCAACAAATTATGCTTCTTTCAGCACAACAAGGAGAGCGTGAGCATCGCCACGCCCTGCAGCAGCAGGATAGGAGTGTACCTGGACTTCAGGGGTGGGACGTTATCCTTCTACAACGTTTCAGACTCCATGGTTCTGCTTCATAAAGAGAAGATCGCATTCACTCAGCCCGTCTATGCAGGCTTCTGGGTGGGGCTGGGGTCTACGCTGAAGCTCTGCTCACCTTAAATGTGAAACAGAGTCGTGCCTTAATTAAAAATTAGCCTGCACGTTTAAGTAAAATCATGAATCTGAGGCAAATGTTTGTGCTCAAAACTCCGTTTTATTAACCGTAGCAGCAGCAGCAGCTTAGATCTTGTTGAAGGCAGCAACATCAACACTCTGGACCTGCAGAGGAAGAAAACAAGCATGTCAACGGCTTTAATCTGAAATCATTCCACATCTTGAAGCTTTGTTCAGTGGTTTTAAACAATAAAGATTTTGACTAGACAAGAGTTATGTTTAAACAAAAACAAGTTGAGACCTCTCACACACAGTGTGGGACAAAATCTAACGGAAATCGCGTTTTGACCTGACAGAATAATTCAGGTTCACAGCAGCCGTCTGCTTTAAAGACGTAACCTACAAAGTCCTCAAACTTGGTGATCTCCTCCTCCAGGATATCTGTGCCAACTTTGTCGTCCTCGACCACACAGTTGATCTGCAGCTTCTTGATTCCATAGCCGACCGGAACCAGCTTCGAGGCGCCCCACAAGAGCCCGTCCATCTGCACCGAGCGCACACACTCCTCCAGTTTTGCCATATCCGTCTCGTCATCCCACTAAGGAGCCGAGGAAAGAAAGAAAGCCAGTTTCAGAACACTGGCTGGTGGCGTTTTATAATCTCTTCTACAGTTTTGCAGACATTGATCATTTGTCCATTAACACAAAAGTTAAGTTACATAAAGTTGAACCACAACTGTGACAGCTCAGAAGTGTGCGTACAGGTTTGACGTCCAGCAGGATGGAGGACTTGGCAATGACGGCAGGTTTCTTGGCTTTCTTGGCTGCATAAGCCTCCAGGCGCTCCTGCTTGAGGCATTCTGCTTCCTCATCTTCTTCATCACTACCAAATAAGTCGATGTCATCGTCATCATTTTCCACCTTCACCTGTTTGGCTGGAGCCGACTGGACTGGTGCAGCCTGGTCATTAAAGATAGGAAAACTGCTCAAAAACAACTTACTGAAAGAAATGTGTGAATATTCACATATTTATAGAAAAATAAGAATAAATTAAAACTATTGGCTGTAAAGAAGCCATTTTCCAGTATAATATTACTGACCTAAGGAGCCACAGCTGCAAATATAATCCCTCACAAAGTTATTACTTTACACCAAAAGATGGTGGAGATGTGTAACTTTAATCTGAGAAACACTTTGGGGTGTTTCTATCGAAATCTTTGGAGTTTATAGAGTTTGTAAACCGCCTCCTACCGGGAGACTCCTGACTGAGGAGAGGAGACGAGCGGAGCTCACAGCGGGCATCTCTTAGAGGAAACATTTACAGTGCTGACTGATAATGGCTGACTCTGATTCTCAAGAGTAATGATCATCCTCTGATGAAGATATTCCCTCGTCCAGTGAGAAAGACAACGATGCTTGTTTGTGACAAGGTGGGCGTAGAAAGGATGGTAGAAACATTACTAATCATGACAGCGGGAATGTAAAGAGTAAATAAAAACAAAAGCTGTAAATAGGGTCAGATGCAGTAGAAGTGAAACAAAGTAGAAGATTATTCCACATATTCCAGCCATCTGGTCCACATAAAGAGCTTTCCTTGCATCAAATCATTTTTACATACCAGGGAAGGTCGACCTAGAAGACATATTTGGCTCTAAAGCATTTCTCTTGAGTGAGGGCAATATAAATATAAAAATATTAAAATAAAAAAATAACTGTATGTGTGCATATAAACAACTAAAAATATAATGAACATTTCAAAACAACGTAAAAATAAGAAGCAACATTTGTAAAAATGATGCATTCCAATGTGGTAGTCTGATGACATAATATGCTAATTAGATGTGTGAATTTTCTCCCAACACAACCTTCTGAAGGATTGTCTCATTTACAGCTAACCTTCATCTCCAACCATTTTCAAGCTACAACCTTTTGAAATAATCATATCAGAATAGAATATTTTCTTGAAAGAAATCTGGAACGGTTCATTTCTGATAACTCACCTTGGCACACGGGACAGCAGCTGGTGCAGGGGACTTCTCCAGGACACCCACTCTGGTCTCCAGCTTCTGCAGCGCTGCCCTCATGTCCTCCACCACTGCAAACAAACAGTATTACACTATAAAGCTGCTGAGGACACACACACACACACACCCTCCTGATTGCTTGTTTGGTGATAATAATTCTCTGTCATCTCCATCAGGAAGCAAAGGTTTAGATGAGGATTAAAAACAAACCAACCTTTGTGCAGAGTCTGGTTCTCCAGCTCCAAGCTCTTCATGCGTGACACCAGCTCCTGGTCTCCTGAGTGGGAGGAGGACTGCAGGGAGAGGAGGAACTCCATAAGGATTCAGGAAAGTACAAACTTAGCAACACACACATTCAGACCCACTCTACATCACAGAAAGTGAGATGAGAGACAAAGCCATGCAGACCAACACACACATCCACACACTAAAGTTTAAACTGAATTTCACCCCCAAAATGTTAAAAATTCCTAACTCGAGAAGCTGTACCTAAACTCGGGTGGACCGGTAGTCTTGGGTTCAGAGCTGCATTGTCTAAGTTTAGAGAATAAATCCAGGTGGAAGTTGTTTTTGTGAATCGGCCAACACTTACAACACCTTTCTGGAACTCTTCTCATTTCTACAAAACGTGCTTTCTGGCTCACGCCGACATGCACCGAACAGAAACCAAACCAGTCTTCACAAGCTTCCACACACATCCCAACTCAAGGAGTTATCGGTTAATCTTCCCAGATGTTTGTGGATGGGAGGCTAAAGTCCAGCATCATGCAGGAGCAATCCGAATCTCAGTCATGCAGCATTCCAGACCCATGCATGGAGAAACTTACGTTCCTGTGCTGCCGTTTGTGTTGGCGCCCTTTGGCTGGTGGCTGCTGCTGGGCCGCTTTTACCTTAAAATATTAACTGTAAATATCAGACGGGAAAGAGGGAACTAGACAACACCCATGTAATACATACTATTGAGCCTTTTATGATAAGAGTCTGACATCTCAGCCTTCATTTGTTTCACCTCAAACTTTTAGCTGCAGCACAGTCTCTTTACATTATGCTAAACAGGGGTGGGTGATATGGCAAAAAAAAAAAAAAAAAAAAAAAAAAAATTAAGATTTTGTTTTTGCAAACTCACAATCACAATTTTATCCATTTTGCCAATTCAGATGTTTTAGAAGTAATTTACCAGTAAATACAGACATTTTAAAGCATACATATTTACAGAAAATAAGACTAAATATCAGAATCCCAAAAAATCTTAAACTCCCATCCATCCTTCCACAGTCGAGATACACGTCTCAAATATCTCACAGGCACTTTTTAAATTACATATTTATAATAAATGTTAAATAATTTAAATTCTGTTCAGAGACCGCTCATGTCTCATCATCCACAACATTACCAGTAATTATTTCTTTTCTAGAGAAATAAAAATCATATTAAGTGAAACTCACGATGCATCCTTATCTCATGCATCTGCTACTCAGGATTTCACTCCCGCTACTTGGGCCTCACGGCTCTCCAACGCAGTTTCGTGACTACGCGGGGGCGTGGTTTGGCTCATCCCTCTACACAGATGGGATAAGCGACTCCAGGCGGCAGCTACAGTGAAAAAGTTCGCTAAATCAAAAACAAACGTCCCCAAAAATATAAGAGACAAAGTCAAATGCAAAGTTTAAAACAGAACACTGACCCAGAAGTCTCCTGATCGAGCAGACGCGTGAGAATACACGCAACGACCATTTAGAGATGACGCAAGCTAGCGACTAATGCTAGTGGCTAGCCGCTATATTCGAGTATGGTGTTGGTGCGCTTCTTCAAATATTCATAATCATTTATGTCTGCATCTTAATACATCAATTATTAGATTATTTTCCTCAGTTCTGCCGAGCACCCCAGATAAACTGCTGCCTTAAGCTTGCTCTGATTGGTTCATCGGTGTGCCTGTCATGCTAACAGAAGCAGACTAGCAAATGGCATGACTCGGCTGAGAGGAATATAAAAACAAATAAATAAATAAAACACTCCAGAATAAGGGCACAGATGGGTGATAGAATGCAAACAGATGTTTCTACAATCTCCGATCTTTGATAGATGTCATCACTTTACAATCCTTAGCGGTCATCAGATTGCACGGCTCTAATTTGGTGATGGTGGCACGGGAGTTAAATGCTTGCCTTGTAATTGGAAGGTTGCAGGTTCGAGCCCCACTCAGTCTGTCACTGTCATGGTGTCCTTGAGCAAGACACCTAACCCACCTTGCCTACTGGTGGTGTTAGGAGGGACCAGTGGCGCCTGAGTACGGCAGACGCGCCTCAGTCAGTGTGCATTCAATCCCAGATACACACTTCCTTCTAGGACAGGGGCGCCAAATCCTGGTCCTGAAGGTCGCTATCCAGCATGTTTTAGCCATTTACCTGCTCCAAAACATCTGATCACTGCTCAACAGAAACCTGTTAATCACCAGCTGATTAAAACCAGGTGTGTTAGAGCCGTGAAATGACTCAGATGTGCTGGATCGTGGTCCTCCTGGTTTGGACACCCCCGTTCTTGGACGTGGCGGTTGTTGAACTGATAAGTTTGTTGTAGCTTAATAAAAGGCGGCCTTTTCTGATAAGGAATCATATCAGTTGATTTTCAAATACAAACTCAGAACTTTTTCCCCACTTGAAGGGTTATCAAATAGATTATTCAAATAATCAATATAAGACTCGATAGAACATCCAAATATTCCATAGGAGCAGACCTAATTATGAGACTCTGTTTCAAAGCCAGGAATGAAAATCAGGTCTACAGAACAGCCGAACTCTGATGTTTTATTGAGACTTAAAATTTTCTTTAGAATAGTCAAAATAGTTTTAAAGTATTTACTAAAAACCAAAAATAAACAATGATTACAAATGATGAATCTGGGCTTCCTCAGATACTTGCTGCCAAACTAGTTTTGGCATCTTCTGTAGCTCTTATCAGTTGTCTTTTGATGCAGTTTCTGAAGTGTGTGTGTGTGTGTTTGTGTGTGTGCGTGTGTGTGTGGGAGGTGGAATTCTAGCTATTAATAAAACTTTAATAATACCGCTAAACTCAACACTATCCATGATATTAGTTCATTTATGTACTCTTTATTGTACCGATTTGATTAAAATTATAAATAGTAACAAAAATGCGTAACAAAGTTGTTGTACAAATGACAAGCTTTGTAAAAGGTGACAAGCTAAAACCCCTACAGCTGCAACTGCCTGTAACGTTTATAATTAAGTGGAAACCCGTTATCACCTGTGACGGAGCAGCTACCAGGTCTGGACGGGAGCTGGGTTCTGCTGCTGCAGTCTGAGGCGATGTGACAAGCCATGGCAGCTGCCAGACCACCTGACCCTTCGCTACAACGAGCCACTTCTAAATCGAGAGCTCTAACGAACACGGAGACAGCTGCTCCGAGCGGTGACAGACGATGATGCAACTACTGCCCAAAGCTACAGGGCAGCAAGTCGAGCTGTGCAGCCTCTTAGCTCACTGAAAACTCCAACCCATCACAAATTGGTCTCAAATCCTCATTTTAGCACATTTAAAGTGAAAGGCCTACCTGTTGCTGCTGCTGAGGGGCAGGGCCACTGGCTCCCTCATAGAAACGCCTCTCTGCATCATCGTAGCACTGTTTGTCAAACCAGATGTTCTCTGTGGCAAGGCACTGCAGTCCGCTCATGTTGGTCCTAAGAAAAGAAATGCCGTTTAAGTACTCCAAAATACTGAATATTTGCAGTTTAGAGTCACAACAAGGGCTTACTTGTTACAACCAGCACAATCAGTGACAGGCAGCAAC